TCGAAACGCCAGAGCGTTTCCGAGAAACCTCGGGCCCCGCCTCTTTCCTGAAAAGGCCTTCTCATTCTCACTTCCCCTCCTCGCCGCCGAGTAATGAAAGAAGGGGTCGATACCCTCTGAGAAGCCGCTGAAACCCCAGACGAACCAGGACCGCGGAACGCGCCAGGGGCGGCGCCCGCGGCGCCGCCACTGGGGTCCCAACGCGGACCCAAAACATCCGAGCGGAATGTTAGAAGTGTATGCAAATTCAATTGTTTCCCAACCGTATTGTGGTGTTGGGTCCTCGTTTGTTTCTCCTCTTGTTCTCTCCTCTCCTCCTCCTCTCCTCCCCCTCCTCCTTCCTGTCTCCTCTCTCCTCGCGTCGCCCTTTCACTTTGGCACACCCATCACACTTTTCGTGGCCCCACAGGGAACTCCACCTGAGGTCCCAGTGGCGCAGTCCGCATGGCGGCGCCGCCCCACTTTGGCACTCCTCACACGCTTCGTGACCCCATAAGGAGCTCCACCTAGAAACCCAATAGTGCAATTCGCATAGCGGCGCCGTCCCATTTTGGGACGCCCTTCGCGCGTTTCGTGGCCCCACAGTGAGCTCCATCCAAAGTCCCAATGGCGCAGTTCGCATGGCGGCGCCGCCCCATGTTGGCACACTCGTCACACGTTTCGTGGCCCAACAAAGGAGCCCCACCTAAGGACCCAGTGTCGCAGTTCGCCATGGCGGCGCCGCCCCATTTTGGCACGCCCCTCGCACGAAATGCCGGCGCCGCCGCATTTTGGCACACCCTTCACACGCATCGTGGCCCCATTGGGAGCTCCACATAATGGCCCATGGCGCAGTTCGCATGGCGGCGCCGCCCTACATTGGCACACCCCTCGCACGTTTCGTGGCTCAATAGAAAGCTCCACCCCAAAAGGTCCCACTGGCGATCTGCGCGTGTCGGCGCCGCCCCATTTTGGCACGCCCCTCGACGTTTTCGTGGCCTCATAGGGAGCTCCACATAAAAGGGCCCCAAGGCACAGTTCGCATAGCGGCGCTGGTCCATTTTGGCACACCCCTCACACGCTTCGTGGCCCCATAGGGAGTCCCACCTGATGTCCCACTGTTTGGCCACGCGCCGCGGACGACCCGCGCGCGTCGCCGTTTTCCTCTCGGGGCGACCAGCGCGCGTCACGGAAGTCCGCGCGGCGCTCTGCCCAGCGCGTCGCTCGCCCGTCGTCGCTGTGCCCACCAGCCAGATCCATGCCCGCCATCAGCCAACCAACTATTTTTTTTTTGCTCCGCGCCGCTGACGACCCACGAGCGTCGCTGGGACCCTCTCGGGGCGACCAGCGCGCGTCGCGGGAACTCCGCGCGGCGCTCTGCCCAGCGCCTCGCTCGCCCGTCGTTGTTCTGCCCTGCGGCCGGATCCTTGCCCGCCATCGGCCAACCAGCTAGCTCTCTTTGCTCCGCGCAGCGGACGACCCGCGCGCGTCGCTGGGACCCCCTCGTGGCGACCGGCGCGCGTCGCGGGGAATTCGCGCTGCGCTGCGCTTGCAGCCTTGGGCCGCAGGGGAAAAGATGGAGAAAAACGGAAGGAAGCGGGCGCGATCCTCGTGACGGGCGTGCCGACATGGGCGTCGCGGCGCGCGGGCGCTGTCATCGGGCAGCCACGCCCAGTGCCACGAATACTCAGAGCCAGGCGTACCCAACCCGTGCAAATACACACATATATATACATATATTTGTATATATGTATATATATATATATGTATTTATTTATTATATATATCTAAATGTATACACACTTGGTGTAACCATGCTCGCATTCATGTAAATAAACTCACCCACACGCAGACTCATTCACAATCAGACTCATTCGCGCTCAGATTCACCCGCGCTCAGTCTCTCGTACTCAGACCTGTCGTCCTCGTTCGTGTTGTGTACCCCCATGGGGAGCGCCGCCGAAGACGAAATTCACAACTGCGATACTCACAACTGCATGTCGTTGGGTCCCTCGCCAGGCTGATTCTTCTTCGATTATTTCAGCGTGTTGGCGGTAGTGTAAGTCAGCGCCCCTTTAAAACGGCGGCTCCACTGACGGGTAGTTTGGTCAATGACCCAGCGAGCCCATCCCTCCCCGATGTGGGCGACGCCGCAATGCCCGAAAGAGGGCCTATCATAGCAACTTTCGGCACCTTTCCAACAGTACCCGCTATTGAATACGCGTTACGGTGCCGCTGATAAAGAAGGGGCCGATGCCTTCCGAAAAGCCGCTGGCCCCAGAGGGCGAGGAGCAGCAGGAGGAGGGCGAATGAGGAGTATAAGGGAAAGGAGGAGGAGGAAAAGGAGGAGGACAACGAGGAGGAGGAGGGCGGAGGAGGAGGAGGAGGGGGAGGAGGGGGAGGAAGAGGAGAACCGACAGACAACAATTTGCGAGCCAATGTTCTTTGTCTGTGACGGACTGGGGGTGGCCCGTGTACTCCACCTCGGCCTAAGTGTGGGCGGGGGGGGGGGGGGCGCGAGCCCGTTCCTGAGTTGGGCCAGATGAAGGCTACGAGCCAGAAACAGAACGCTCTTCGCACCATCGGTGCGAAGACGAAAAATGAACTCGGCTCTTTGCTGCGCTGACTATGCGCCTACCAGCGGCTTCGGTGGGGGACTCCGCTGGCTTTTAGTGTGGGACGGTCCGTTGGGGAAACCTAAGCCGCCCTCCAGAAGCACCAGCCCCCTGTTAGCATGCAGGACGAGTCGTGAAATCGTCACATTCTGAATGCTAACCTTCAGGCCCCCATGGCGTCGTATCCCTATCTACTGTGACAACTGGCTGGGTGGTGGAAGGTGGGGGCGGAAAGGGGAAGGGGGAAGAAGACTCAACCTAGGAAAGAGGGAGGTCAGTCGGAATAGCCAGAACCCTGGAAACTCTGTTCAGTAGCTGTTCAATGGAAAGCCCGCCTTCCACAAGTGTCCCAGCGGCATGAAACATCTGAAAAAAAACGAGTTCCGACCTTGTGCCTGAAAATCGGTTCGGAACGGCTGGCCTGGAGTCGGGTCAGGGCGACATCATTCATCTGTTCGCCCCGAATCATGTCGCATATTCGCTGGAATCCTGCGACCTGGTCCAGGACGGCTAGATTCAGTCGCCCTCGAGTTCCTGAGCGATCTCCTCCTCGGTGTTGTTGCACTTGCCCTACTTGCCCGCGGAGCCCTTGGCGCCGCTGTTGCTGGCCTTGCTGGCCTTGCTGCTGTTGACCTGCTTGGCGATGCCATCGTTGCTGATGCCGATGCGGTGGAGGAGGATCTCTGCGTCCCTCTGGAGCTCCCCGCGGAGCACCGCCTGGCTTGTAGGTTCCCTTCTGAGCGATCATCGTCTGGCATACAGCTTCGTGAAGCGTGATCCCTGTCTGTGGTACCTCCAGTGACTGCTGCGCCGATGCCATCCTGAACTGTAGCTTCTACTGCTGCGGGTTGTCGTATTTCTTCTTGTCGTAGTAGCACGGGCACGTGCGGAAATATTTGATGTGTGGCGGAAGGATGCCCAGCGCCTCCTGCTGTGGCTTCTTGACCAGGGAGCCCCAGTACGGGATGAACACTTTCTTCAGCTGTTCGGGCAACTGGGGCTGGTGTACCAGGTACTGGATTAGAGCCAATAAGTTGGGGGGCCACGAAGGCCCGTTCTTGTGGTCTTTGCCGTCCGTCTTGCACTTCTCGTTGTAGTCGAGCCCTGCCTGACGTAGGATGGGGACGATCTTGGCGCTGTGCGGGAGCAAGAAGCAAGTGTACTTTGCGCCGATAAGCTCCGCCAGCTCTCGGCGGTTGCTGGGCATCAGCCTGGCCAGGATTGTGATGAGCGCCGCCTGGGGGTCTCCTGCCTGCGGAGACTCCTCGGTGATCTGATCCTTGAGGCGAGCCAACTTGGAGTCCTTTGAAGCCGCCGTGCGCTCTGCCTTGCGCTTGGTCTTCGGGAGCCACGCTGGCGCCGCTTCGACCTCCATCGTCTACCAATGGGAGTGCGTGAAAGTGCGAGCGGGTATGAGATTGTAATGCACTCGAAGCATGTACTTGAGCCTGGCACAATGGGCAAAGAAACCATCTTCATGCTGACGTATCTGATTGGTACTGTTCGTCAAGGCTGTACCTATTCCTGTCCTGAAAGAACTAACTAGGTGTCTGTAGGTGCTGTTGATGTTTTCGAAGACTGAGAGGCAGACAAAACATTGGTTGGCAAACACCGCCTGGGACAGGATGGCACGGAACCCATGGTGATTATGCATGTGCGCCAGCAGCTGGCGTCGGGTAGCAAATGGTACAGGGCATCCCCCTACAGTACACCTATGATTACCTTGTCGATCATCATGTTGTGAGGGGGGTCAGCGTCGGAATGATGTCGATTGCTCCTTAACGCCCTGGGCGGGCCGCCGCCGCACGTTGACGGGCGCGGGCGAAGGTTGGGACGGCGCGTCGGCCGCGAGGGAGGTCTGTAGCCGCCCGAGCGGCTCGGGCACACTCAAAACTCTGCTGGTCGGAAACCACCCCGTCAGGCCCGCGCTTCCTGACCTGATGCAAGTGCCGATGAAGGTGGAAACGCATCACCAGAAGACGAGCCGCGTCCGTGCAGTGGCCGACGAGGGCTAGCCGGGCTAGCATGTCCGAGGGAACAGGACGCCCCGAAACCCGAAACACGAGCTCGTCAAATCTGGGGCAGACGATGTAGTGGGAGAGTGAGTCGAGGGCTCCACCACAGCCGAGGAGACACCCGTGTTGGGGGTTCCTAAGCCTAGTGTCGGTGACCCACCCCCCCAGTCCACGTCTTGAAAAGAGCCCAGCGCCATGCAGGGGGGAGGGAAGCGAGGAAGGAGCGAAGCGAATCAAGGTCGAGAGGGACGAGGGAGGTCGGGGGGATGGCAAACCATTTGGCCAGGCGCTTGCGCACCCTCGCAGCCAGGCCCGAGCGCCGATCGGGCTGCGCGAGGGCGCGCATCAGCGCGGCCTGAAAACGGGGCCGCCTCCCCTCACAGCGCCGCGCCTCGGCTTCCAGCGACGCGCTCCTCAGGGCTGCCTCCGAACCCAGCAACGTCGCCGCCTCCTCGAGGAGCATGGCAAGGGGCCTCGCCTCCCAGAAGCCCGGCCACGCGAGCCCTCGGCCGAGGGCCTCGAGCGAAAAGCACCGCGCTGCCGTCTCGCGGAGGGCCCGCGCCATCGCGCGCCATGTCACCAAGGTCTGCGTGGCGGTGCGCACGCGGGCCGCGGCGCAGAGGTCCCCAAGGAGGTGTATCGGGGTCAGAGCGAAGAGGTCCAGGGCCGAGAAGTCCATGAGTCCGAGCCAGCTGCCCAGCGCCCGCAGCAGCCGACAAAGCACGTGGTGCTCAGCCTTGGGCAGGCGGAGGAGGAGGAGGAGGAGGAGGAGGAGGAGGAGGAGGAGGAGGAGGAGGAGGAAGAAGAGGAAGAGGAGGAGGAGGAGGAGGACGACGACCCCCCCTGCCCTCGCACGAAGGCCGCCCCCCTCGCCCCCGCCGGCGCGCAGAGCGCCCCGCGCCTCCCCCGGGCCCAGCAGCAAGCGCCTGACCCGGCGGAGCGGCCGGGGATCCACGCGGCCGACGAGCGTGCGATGGAGGCCTGTCCACAAGACACCTCCCACGAGAAGCCCAAGGTTATCGTCGTCGTCGTCGTCGTTGTCGTCGTCGTCGGTCGAGGAACGATCGAGGGCCCAAGTTTTGGGGCATGTTCGGGCCTCGGTGGACCTCCCGGGGCGCCCTTGTTGCCACGGCTGGCTTCCCCTCGAAAGTCTGGCCACGAACCACGCCAGGAGAGGTCGGAGAGGTTGTCGTCGAGATTCTTTGAGCGTTTGGAGCGTCCTACAGTGGAGGCCAGTCCACAAGAAACCTCCCGCAAGAAGCCCAAACCCCCTGGAGCCCCAGGACGTCCACTGACTTTGGTGTGGGAGCGTCAGGCTTCCCCTCGCAAAACCATCGAAACCCAGGAAACCCAGGGCACCCTGGAGGCAAGCGGGGTATTTCTTGGCATGGGTCTTCACTGTACCCGCCCGTCGGAAGAAGGGGGTGGAACCCCGAAGCAGGAAGGCGTTGGAAATAGAGTTGGCTTCCGCCCGCCACCTGAAGAGGAGGGAAACAGGGAAACCGCTCGACTCTTGAAGCAGGACGGCGGCAGAAGTATAATGGGATCTGGGGATCTAGAAATATCTGCTTTCAACGATTGGCGGGTACCCTCCAGTGGCCCAACATCAAGGAGGAGATCGACTGCAGAATTGATTTGTCCCAAACTTGCAATGTTCGCCGAATCTGCGAAAAATACGGTTGCCATCGCTCGTTCGTCCATTCCCCGTTTCCCGTGTCGTGCGCTTACTGCAGGATGCTTCTGGATGGCCCTCGCCGAAAAAACGCATACGTCCGAGCGATGCCAAGTACGTATCATGATCGTATATCTACAGGGAGCTTTTGCGTCCTTTTGGGAGATCCGGCGAACATTTCAAGTTTGGGGGAAATCAGTTACGCATGTAGTCGATCTCCTACTCGACAACAGCAGCTGTCTCGACTGCTTCCTGGCAGCACTGGAGGGCCTGTCTGGTTGCTTCCCTGGCCCCCGCCCCTCTGTCGTCAGAGAACTTAAAAAAAGCGCAGGCATACATTTTCGAAGGTCCGCGCGGATTCATGGATCGGCGGTGGACGCACCCCCCCTCTTCTTGGCGCGCGCGTGGCGCGCCCGGGGCGGCGCCGGAGGCGCCTCCAAGAGGGGGCCCCGAGCGCCGATCCGAGAAATCCGCGCGGACCTCCAGAAGCTTATGGCTTATGCCCACGCAGATGTGTTTCTTTTTCGAGCGGGGCAGGTGGACTCCCCTGCCGTCCTTCGAGGCCCACTCCCGCGCTGACCGCACCTGGAACTCCCGAGGCCTCCAGCACTCGACACGGCCCACGCGGACCCGGCGCCAAGGAAGAGGAGGGCGAGGAGGGTGAGGGGGGGGGGAAAGAGAAGGGTGAGGACCAGCGTGCCAGTGTAAACCCAAGACACATCCATTATGTTGCAATAAACTCTCCCTTCAAGACTCTTCTTCATAGGTCCTGACAAAGGTTCATGTTCACTTAGGGGAATGCCTCGTTGGAAGACAACCGTCTGAAAATGCTGCACCGCGCCGAAGCACAATTACTGGGACTGCAGCGCCGCGAATCAACTTCACGGTTGTTGTCCGACGATTCTGAATTCTGCCAGAATGCCATTCCTGGGACTTCAACACCGCGGATCAACGTGACTATTGAAACCTGATAATCCTACATCGTGCCAAAACACCACGTCTGGGATGTCAACCATCAGAAACCTCGAAATTGCTGAAATCTCTTAAGACGAATGTGCGCGGTGCTAAGGCGAGACCCTGATTTCTTTAGAAAGGAACCAGCCTTCTTCCATGAACCTCTTGCAAGCTTGTAAATCGACTGTGCGTGGCGCTGAGGCGAGAGCCACATTATGAAAACCGACCGCCCTCCACCCGTGACATTCTTACGCAATTTTCAATCGAATGTGCGCGGCGGTGAAGCGAGAACCACATTTTGAAAACGGCCCGCCCTCCATTCCCGAATCGATGGAATATTTGCTCGTACGCAAAATCACACATGGTGAACAAAGCTCAGGCCCGCCCTACCGACACGTCTCGGAATGCGACAGGGAGGAGTTATTCATAAGAAAAAACTATGGAGGAGGAAGTAGAGGGGGAGGAGGAGGAGGAGGAGGAGGAGGAGGAGGAGGAGGAGGAGGAGGAGGAGGAGGAGGAGGAGGAGGAGGAGAGGGCACGGGAGGGCAGGGGAGTAAAAGGGGAGTAGGATGAGGTGGACCCCCGCCCCCGTCGTCCTTCGAGGCCACCCCCGCGGTGACCGCGTCCTCGTCGTCGTCCTTCGAGGCCATGGTGCTCAGGGAGGCCGTGGACGCGGTGCCGCGCAGGGCCGCCTGGCAAAGCGGGCGCGTCTGGAAGGCACCCGACGTGGTCCCCTCTCTCTTGGCCTCCGCCGCGCACCCGGGGACGCGGAGCAGCCACGCGGGTGCGCTGGCAGCAAGCACTCCTCCGCCTCCGCCTCCGCCTGCGCCTCCTCCTCCTCCTCCTCCTCGGCCTCCTCCGCCTCCTCCACCTCCTTCTCCTCCTCCTCCTCCTCCTCCGCCTACTCCTCCTCCTCCTCCTCCTCCTCCTCCTCCTCCTCCTCCTCCTCCTCCTCCTCCTACTCCTCCTCCTCCTCCTCCGTCTCCTCCTCCTCCTCCTCGGCCTAAGTACTCCTCCGCCTCCGCCCCCGCCTCCGCCTCCGCCTCCGCCTGCGCCTCCTCCTCCGCCTGATTTCACGCATGCCCGCGCTGCCGCCCTCCGCACTCCTCTCGTTTCCATCCAGCCACGCCAACATTGCAGGCGCTGATGTAGGTGGTGCGTACCTGCTACACCTCCACCTCCTCCTCCTTCTCCTCCCCCAGGGGTGGGATGAGAAGTACTGAGAAGGGGTGGCTTTCTGAGATGAAGCGGGGGCCTCTTTGAAGGGATCGGGGGCCCCTCAAAGGCGGGAGGGCTTCCAAAATACACCCTGCCTCCTGAGAGGGCCGCCGCCTCAACCCACATCCTTGTGCGCGCCGTCAATCACACGGAAGCGTTGGGCAAGGATTCATTGCGCGCGATACTCGGGGATCTTCTGACCCGCGTCCAATCCAGACCCGGGTCAGTCAGGCCTTGCAAGATCCTGCAGGATCCTGCACCCAAACCTGGATCAATGCGACCCTGGCCCTGCAGGATCCTGCAAGATCCCGCAGGATCCTGCACCCAAACCCGGGTCGCCCGGGTCAATGCGACCTTGGCTCTGCAGGATCCTGTCAGATCTGGCGCTCTGGCTCACCCTCGTTTGCATTGACCCCCGTCTCTTAAGCCTGGTGCATTCGTGGAGACGCGACAGTGGGGGACGCTGGAGCCAGCCGCTCTGGGGCCCTGCGTCGGGTCGAATCGGCGCGCCTCCCCCCGGGACGAAATCTCTGCTGACTATCTTTGGACAAGACGGGGTCGTGTGAGAACAGCGTGGTCACTTGAGTGGAATCCGACCTCCTCCGGACGTCTCTGGAGGTCCCCGGAAGCTGCTGGAGGCCTCCCGACGCGCCCCTGGAGGCCCCAGAAGGCCAGAATCGTCAAAAGCCTAGATCGTCCTCCTTCCTCGCCCTGCTCCCTCCCTCCTCCCCTGCTGCCTCGACAAGCCTGGCCCTCGGGAGGACACCTCTCATCAAGCGCCCTCGCCGCGCCGAGGAGTCGAGGAGGAGGAGGAGGAGGAGGAGGAGGAGGAGGAGGAGGAGGAGGAGGAGGAGGAGGAGGAGGAGGGGAGCAGGAGGAGGAGGAGGAGGAGGATGGGGAAGAGGAGGAGGAGGAGGAGCAATCGAGCTTCCAAAAAGCATTCAAAAACACATGGTTTCGCAACACTGATGTTCTAAAAGAGCTGACGCGCGCGCGCTCTTGCGAAATCGTAAGAAAACCATAGGTTTTTCGATATGTTCTACAAGTGCTACCAAACGGGCTGCGCGCGCGCATGTCGAAATCTTTCGAACGCCCTTGCGCGCGTGCCGTCGCGAAAATCCTCTGCAAAAGCTGGGACGAAATGCAGACGCGCGCGTCGTCTCGCGCGCATGCCGAAATCCTTCACAAACTTCCAGTTTCGAAAAGATTTCAAAATCGTGTGTCCGAACATCATACAAAAGCACAAGGTTTCGCAACACGGATTTTCAACAAAAGCGTGCGCGCGCGCTCTTGCGTCGTCGTCGTCGTCGTCGTCGTCGTCGTCGCCGTCCTCCCTCCTCCCTCGTCGTCGTCGTCGTCGTCGTCGTCGCCGTCGTCGTCCTCTGTCTTTCCTCGTCGTCGTCGTCGTCCTCTTTGGCGTCGTGGTCGTTTCCGTCGTCGTTGTCGTCGTGGTCGTCCTTCCTGCTCCTTCCTCGTCGTGGTCGTCGTTCGTCGTCGGCGTCTCGTCATCGTCCCTCCTATTTCGTCGCCGTCGTCGTCGTCATCGTCGTCGTCTTCCCTCCTCCCTCGTCGTTGTCGTCGTCGGCGTCGCCGTCCTCGCTCTTTCTTCGTCGTTCGCGTCGTCGCCGTCCTCCCGCTTCCCTCGTCGTTGTCGTCGTTGTCGCCGTCGTGGTCCTCCCTGCTCCCTCGTCGTCGTCGTCGTTTTCGTTGGCGACGTCGTCGTCGTCGTCGTCGTCGTCGTCGTCGGCGTCGGCGTCGTCGTCGTTTTCGTCGTCGCCGGCGTCGTCGTCGCCGTCGTCGTCGTCGTCGACGTCGTCGTCGTCGTCGTCGGTGTCGTCGTCGTCGTCGGCGTCGTCATCGTCGTCGTCGTCGTCGGCGTCGGCGTCGTCGTCGTCGTCGTCGGTGTCGTCGTCGTCGTCGTCGTCGTCATCGTTGTCGTCGTCGTCGTCGGCGTCGTCATCGTCGTCGTCGTCGTTGTCGCCGTTGGCGGCGTCGCCGTCGTCGTCGTCGGTGTCGTCGTCGTCGTCGTCATCGTTGTCGTCGTCGTCGTCGAAGTCGTCGGAGACGTCGTCGGTGTCGTCGTCGTCGTCGTCGGCGTCGTCGTCGTCGGCGTCGGTGTCGTTACCATGTGCCACTAGGTAAGTTGCCGTCACGGTCTTAAGAGGTTTTGCAAACCAAATTGCGGGTGGGTGGGTGAGATGTTTGCAACAGCGTGGGGTGAGTGAAATCATGGGTAACAATCAATTCTCCTTTCTTACAAGAAAATAAACTCTCCCCCCCCGGCGTGATCGGTCCCCCTTTCGGGTATGTAAATCATTTATGATTCTGACCACATGTCCATCATAAATATGAATTTACACTATCCCTGGGGGGCCGGGTTCCCCCCCTCTGAGGTTCCCTGGTAAAAAAAAAAACACTATGCGGTGACATTGTTTGTTCTAACATCGCACTTTTTCGCGAATCCCTTACAAAAAACGGGACGAAGTGCACACGCGCGCGTCGTCGCGCGCGCATGCCGAAATCCTTCAAAAACCCTCGGTGCTGGAAGGAATTCGCAATCGAGTTTCCCAAAACATACAACAACACAGGGTTTCGCAGCACTGATGTGCTAAAAAAGCTTCCGCGCGAGCTCTTGCGAAATCTTCAGAGAACGATAGGTTGTTCAAGATCTTCACAAAATGCTGTTAAACGGGCTTCGCGCGCGCATGTCGATATCAGTCGAACGCCCTTGCGTGTGTGCCGTCGCGAGAATCCTCTGCAAAAAAAAGGGACGAAGTGCAGACGCGCGCGTCGTCGCGCGCGTATGCCGAAAACCTTCAAAGCCCATCGGTTTCGGAGGTTTCTAAAATCGTGTCCAAAAAACCTACAAAAACATAAGGTTTCGCAACACGGATTTTCAACAAAAGCGTGCGCGCGCGTCCTTGCGTCGTCGTCGTCGTCGTCGTCGTCGTCGTCGCCGTCCTCCCTCCATTGTCGTCGTCGCCGTCGTCGCCTACGTCGCCCTCTGTCTTTCCTCGTGTTCGTCGTCGTCGTCCTCTTTGGTGTCGTGGTCGTTTCCGTCGTCGTTGTCGCCGTGGTCGTCCTTCCTCCTCCTCCCTCGTCGTCGTCGTCCGTCGTCGGCGTGTCGTCGTCGTCCCTCCTATTTCGTCGCCGTCGTCGTCGTTGTCGTCGTCGTGTTCCCTCCTCCCTCGTCGTTGTCGTCGTCGGCGTCACCGTCCTTCCTCCTTCTTCGTCGCTCGCGTCGTCGCCGTCCTCCCTCTTCCCTCGTCGTTGTCGTCGTTGTCGCCGTCGTCGTCGTTTTCCCTGGTGTCGTCTTCGTTGGCGACGTCGTTGTCGTCGTCGTCGTCGTCGTCGTCGTCGTCGGCGCCGTCGTCGTCGGTGTCGTCGTTGTCGTCGTTGTCGTCGTCGAAGTAGTCGGAAACGTCGTCGGTGTCGTCGTAGTCGGTGTCGGCGGCGACGCCGTCGTCGTCGTTGTCGCTGTCGTCGTCGGCGTCGGTGTCGTGGCCACGTGCCATGTGGCACCTACCGTCGCGGTCTTGTCCTCCTTTGTCGCCGTTCGCGTCGTCGCCGTCCTCCCTCCTCCCTCGTCGTTGTCGTCGTTGTCGCCGTCGTCGTCCTTCCTCCTCCCTCATCGTCGCCTTCGTTGGCGTCGTCGTCGTCTTCGTCGTCGTCGGCGTCGGCGTCGTCGTCGGCGTCGTCGGAGACGTCGTCAGTGTCGTCGTCGTCGTTGTCGTCGGTGTCGTCGTAGTCGGTCTTAAAAGGTTTTGCAAACCAAGTTGCGGGTGGGAGGGTGGGATGTTTGCGCGAGCAGTGGAGAGGACAGCTTCAAGTTGAGCAAGTGATTGACTGCACCTCATGAGTAGCACCGTCTAGACTGCATCGCGTAGATTCTCCTCTCGAAAAGACTAATAGATTCTACCCCCCCCCCGGACTTATCGGTTCCCCCGCGCGTGCTGTAAATCATATATGATTTTGACCACATGTCCATCCTAAATATGAACTCATACCATCCCAGCCAAGCCGGGTTCCCCCCCCTGCGGTTCCCTGTCAAATAACACTATGCGGGGACATGTTTCTTTCTCACATAACACTTTTTTTTTCGGAAATCCCTTGCAAAAAATGGGACGAAGTGCACACGCGCGCGTCGTCGCGCGCGCATGCCGAAATCCTTCAAAAACCTTCGGTGCCGGAAGGATTTCGCAATCGAGTTTCCGAAAAACATACAAAAACACATGGTTTCGCAACACTGGTTTGCTAAAAAAACTTCCGCGCGAGCTCTTGCGAAATCTTGAGAAAACCATGGGTTTGTTGTGTACAAAAAAATAATCAATAAAACAGATTTTCACAAAATGCTACCAAACGGGCTTCGCGCGCGCATGTCAAAATCTGTCGAACGCCCTTGCGCGTGTGCCGTCGCGAGAATCCTCTGCAAAAAATGGGACGAAGTGCAGACGCGCGCGTCGTCGCGGACGTA